AGGCCCTCTCCGGGCCCCGGGACCGTCAAGAAACGATTCAGGATGAAAAAACGGCCCCGGGGAAAGGGTCTGGACTCACAGGGACGCCGTCCTGAGAAAATCAGGACGTCGCATGTCTGGGATTCCCAGACCTACCAGGCCCGGAAGGCGGCATTTCTTCTCGCGGGGCCCTGGGATTGTCACACAACTCGTGTCTGTTGACGGTCCTGGGGCGGTCTTCCAGGGCCGGTTCTTCATCCTGAGTCGACTCGGGATGGAATAACGGCCCGGGGGAAGGGGTTGGGACTTCGTCTGGAGAGCCCGTAATGGAAAAGTCTGGACATCGCATGTCTGGGTGTCGATCCGATCGATCTGATTCGGTGTTAATTTCGGCCGTCTCCGTCTGGCTCGATTTCGAATATTTCCAGCGATCCGATGCGGCTTGGTGCTTACATGGCGCCGCTGTCCATCCTGGTTCAGCCCATCCGGTTCGATTTCTTCTCCGTGCCAATGCAGCCCGATCCGACGAAAATTCCGATCCGATCTGATTTCCCGACTCGATGCTGGCTCATCCCGCCCCAGACATGCTCGCGCCGTGAAGAATCACTAGCACAACGGACGTCCCCAAGGATTTGACGATTTTTGTTCGCCAATCGACTTGGGGGATCAGGCCGGGTAAATCCAAGCAGATGTAGGCAAATCTAGATTCAGACGATCGCAAATATGGATCAAGGGTGCGTGGATTAGCGACGGGTTCGGATTCCACATGAAATCACGGAATTCCGCTGCCGAGCGAGGCGGCACCGGCCGCATTTTGGGGAGGGCACCTCCCCCAATCCATGTGGATTTGGCGACCGCGCGCCAAATCCATGGATCGCTGATCCATTTTTGCGCGCCCCTGACAGAAGCAGCCTCCCTCTAAGAAGCCTTTCCTCCTCCTCCTCCTCCTCCTCCTCCTCCTCCCTTCCTCCTCCTCCTTCTCCCCCCTTCTTCCTCCTCCTCGATCCTCCTCCTCCTCCTCCTCCTCCTCCTCCTCCTCCTCCTCCACCTCCTCCTCCACCCCCTCCCCCCGTTTCTTCCTCCTCCTCCGCCATCCTCCTCCTCCTCCTCCTCCTCCTCCTCCATCTTTCTCCTCCTCCTCCTCCTCCTCCTCTTCCTCCTCTCCACCTCCCCTCCTCCTCCTCCCCGCCTCCTCCCCCTTCATCCTCCTCCCGATCCATCCTCTCCTCCTTCCTCCTCCTCCTCCTCCTCCTCCTCCCCTCCTCCTCCTCCTCCTCCTCCTCCTCCACCTCTCCTCCCACCTCCCCCTCCCCCTCCGCCCCCTCCCCCTCCCCCTCCCCCTCCTCCTCCCCCTATCCCCCCCCCCCCACTCCCCCTCCCCTCCCCCTCCCAGCTCCTCCTCCCCCTCCTCCTCCTCCTCCCTCGTCCTCCTCCTCCTCCTCCCTCCTCCTCTTCCTTCCTCCTCCTTCCTCCTCCCCCTCACCGCCCTTGCTTCCCCTCCTCCGCCGCCTTCCTCCTCCTCCTCCTCCTCCTCCTCCCCTCATTGCCTCCTCCTCCTACCTCCTCCTCCTCCTCCTCCACTCCTCCTCCCCCTCCCCAATTCTTCTCCTCCTCCTCCGCCTCCTCCTCCTTCCACCTCCCTCTCTCCTCCTCCTCCTCCTCCTCCTCCTCCCCTTCCCCCCTCCCCCTCCCCCTCCCCTACCCCTCCTCCCCCCTTCTTCCTCCTCCCCGCCTCCTCCCCGCCTCCTCCCTCCTCTCCTTCCTCCCTCCTCCCTCCAGCCTCCTCCTTCTCCTCCTCCTCCACTCCTCCTCCTCCTCCTCCACCTCCTCCCCTCCCTCCTCCTCCTCCTCCCTCCTCCTCTCCACCCCCCCCATTCTTTCCTCCTCCCTCGATCCACCTCCTCGATCCTCTCCTCCTCTCCTCCTCCTCTCTCCCTCCTCCTCCTCCTTCACTCTTCTCCTCCTCGCTCCCCTCCCCCTCCCCCTCCTCCTCCCCCTATCCCCCCCCCCTGGTGCGCGCCGCCAACCCAGGGGAGGGGGTCCAGGCCTCTCGGGGCCCAGGTCGCGAGCAGAACCACGACGTCGGGGGCCGAGGGCGTCGAAGAGGGCGCCGAGGGCGCCGAGGCTCGAGGGCACCGAGGGTCGAGGGCGTCGAGCCTCCACCGACGTCGTGATAATTTCATGACGTGCCTCGGAACTCTCGATAGGGGAACGGAGAAGGGCGTGAACATAAAGACATAGAGAATGACAGAGTCTGGGGACGATTCTTCGTGCTCTCTCCACTATTGGGGGCATATTTTCTGTTATGTCCTATGTTTTCCAAGACCCGCCTGTAGGAGGACATGCCTTGCCCGACCTAAGGCTTGCCGCCGATCTCAGGCCAAGCTCCTGGCCTGCCGCCGCCGCCCGGGGCTCCCCCCTTACTAGGGGAACGAGGAAAGACAGAAGCATAAAAGCTCGGAGGTCCGCGCGGACCTCCGAGTTTTTATGAATACGTCACTGTTCGTTACCCTACTCGGAACCAACGTGGATGCATGTGCTTGCTACACGTGGCGAACACTCGATTCTCACTTACGTCTCCCCGACGATGTCCCCCTCAATCGCTGCCCCTGTATGGGGGCACACAGAGGGACGCACGCGCCCGACCACGCAGATGAGCACGGCCCCTCCGTCCGCGAGACTAGCTTCGTCGCACGCACGTTCGCGAAATGCGTGCTCTCGACTCGAAACCAACGTGGATTCATGTACCTGCTACACGTGGCCTGTTCTGGAGACCCTGGATCCAAAAGTGCTGCCATCTCTTGGAAGGTCGACCTCTGCTTCCGCCGAGCTTCCGCCGCCTTCCGCCCGCGGGGCCGCCGCAGTCTTACTCCTGTCGGCCTTCCGCCGCCCTTCCGCCGCGGAAGAGACCCCTCCTGCGACCCTCGAAGGCAAGGCCCTCTCTGGAACGCCTCACGCCCCCAGGCCCCCGACGTCGTGACTTGTTGCACGACGTGCCCCTCAGAAGTCTGGACCCCTTTTTTTGCACAAAGGATTGCACAAAAAAACCCCTTCGTTCAAGTGAGGGCGGGGGGGCACGATTTGTTGCTCCTCCCGGCGGCAGAAGCAGCAGACCCCTTCCCGGGGACCGGCTTTTCCTCCTGAGTCGTCTTTGGACGGCCCCGGGGCCCGGGAAAGGCCCCGGGAGGCCGAACCTAGCGAAAAGCCTCCCGTCGCGACGTCTTCGCCGCGCCGAGGGGGTCATGGGGACCCTGGGAGGAAACCCCGGGGCAGTTTTGGAGCCCAGAGCTCACCGCCGGGCGCCGCGGGAACAAAACAAATACCCTGGCGACGTACCCAACCCCTGCGCAAACGCGGGGCGCAAATAGTTTAGGACACTTCATAAGGGGGGCGATGACGGAGCGAGGGTTACATATGTCTGCAGACGGAATTCGGGAGACTCGCAGGACACTGGTTACAGGACAAGGATTAGATAAAGCTGATCAGTTACAATCCCTGAGCAACCCTAGCCACTTCGAAAGCGGGGATCTCATATCGCAGCCCCCCAGGGATGGCGAGGTCTAGTTTGAATCTGCGTGTGGCGTCACTGTGCTGGGCCCTCCAGCAGGCCTCGAAAGTGGCGACAGTTTCACGGATCGCAGCCCCCCACGGATGGCGAGGTCTAATTTGAATCTGCCCGTGGCGTCACTGTGCTGGGCCCCCCAGCAGGCCTCGAAAGTGGCGACAGTTTCGCAGATCGCAGCCCCCCGGGGATGGCGAGGTCTAATTTGAATCTGCCCGTGGTGTCACTGTGCTGGGCCCCCCAGCAGGCCTCGAAAGTGGCGACAGTTTCACGGATCGCAGCCCCCCCAGGGATGGCGAGGTCTAATTGAATTTGCCCGTGGCGTCACTGTGCTGGGCCCCCCAGCAGGCCTCGAAAGTGGCGACAGTTTCACAGATCGCAGCCCCCCAGGGATGGCGAGGTCTAATTTGAATCTGCCCGTGGTGTCACTGTGCTGGCCCCTCAGCAGGCCTCGAAAGTGGCGACATTTCACAGATCGCAGCCCCCCAGGGATGGCGAGGTCTAATTTGAATCTGCCCGTGGCGTCACTGTGCTGGGCCCCCCAGCAGGCCTCGAAAGTGGCGACAGTTTCACAGATCGCAGCCCCCCAGGGATGGCGAGGTCTAATTTGAATCTGCCCGTGGTGTCACTGTGCTGGGCCAGGCCTCGAAAGTGGCGACAGTTTCACAGATCGCAGCCCCCCAGGGATGGCGAGGTTTAATTTGAATCTGCCCGTGGCGTCACTGTGCTGGGCCCCCCAGCAGGCTTCGAAAGTGGCGACAGTTTCACAGATCGCAGCCCCCCAGGGATGGCGAGGTTTAATTTGAATCTGCCCGTGGCGTCATTGTGCTGGGCCCCCCAGCAGTCCTCGAAAGTGGCGACAGTTTCACAGATCGCAGCCCCTTGCAGGCAAGACAGGAGGAGGTAGGAGAGAGGCGGGACGGGAAGGAAGAACGGAGTGGAGACCACACTGCTCTATTCAAAACGAATACCCAACCAAGGAGGGTTGGGGGAGAAAAAAAAAGCTGCAGGCGGACGTTCTTCTGTTGGGTTTTTTTCGGCGGTGAGAGGCCATCTCCCGGGCCCGCAGGGGCCGCTTCGGAACGGCCCACAGGCTGAAAGCGCGCCCCAGGGAGGGGGTCCACGTCCCCGGGGGCCCGCGGTCAGTATCGTTTAACCGATCCCCATCCCCATCCCCATCCACGTCTCGAACCCCACCGTCTCACCACCCCAGTTGGGGATGTGCCCCTCGAAACCCGAAGAGAGCAGGCTATATCCCATCCAGGGGGGTAAATCGGCCAGTGGGACCCGGCCCACGCTGGTGGGGATGGGGATGGCTTCCATGATGCTCAGGTGCGCAAGCGCGTGACGTCGGAGGCGAGGGGCAGATAACAGAGAGCGGCACGACCGTGCACAGTCGGGGCTGCGCGCGGCCCTCGGAGCGCTTCTATGTGTCTGCTCCGCGCCCGCTTCTCCAGAGGAGCCGCTGGAGGCCAGAGGGTCCTCGGGGAGCGGAGTGAGAGCCACGTCGACGCAGCAGCGGCGCGGAGGGCCGGGCCGAGGAGCCCGCCGGCGGGCGAGCCGGCGCGGGCACCCGGCGGCGCGGCGCCGGCAGCCTTGAGGAGCTCTGCTGCGCCGGTCGGGGGGCCCTGGCGAGGCCGGGCCCGCGGGTGCAGGCGCCTCCGAAATGTGCAAGCCGAGCTCCAAGCGAGCAGACTGGTGGCACACCGCGCCACGAGCAGCTCGAGGTGCTGAGGCAGACAGCGCCCAACGTCTGAGCCTTTCAGACGATTGTGGCCCGACGTGAAGTGGCCCGGTGGCTTGCCGAGGCGACGCCTGGTCGCAGCTGGCGCGAGGCATCATGTACACGCTGCTATAGCAGGGAGCCCTGGCGGAACTGTGCCGGCGGGCGCCGTGCAGAAAAACGGCCGACGCGAGGTGACCCAGAGGCATCCTGAGGCGGATCCCGGTCACGTATAACGCGAGGCATTTGTAAGATGTTCCCAGACATGATCGCGTCGTACAAAAATCAGGACGGCAAGTGTTTCGCTATCTTCGGCTTCTGGGGGCCTTCGCAGGGCCCCAGGAACGTCAAAGAACGACTCGGGATGAAAAACCGGCCCTGGGGAAAGGGTCTGGACTTCTGGGGACGCCGTCTTGAAAAAATCATGACGTCGCGTGTCTCGGCTATCACATGAGGCACGCAGAAAAGCAGGGTCGTCTGCGCCGACGTTCCCGCGTAAGCTGCCAGCGTAAGGTCCCGCGTAAGTGCCCTCGTCTCCAACGTGGCGTGCCACGATGGCGGCCCGCGTAAGCCGCCGCGTGAGGTCGCCGTGCCATCTCGCGTAAGACCCGTTTTTGTTCGTCGCTCACATACTACGCTATTTTCTGCGGCGCCGGAAGATTTGCAACAAAAAAAAAAAACACAGGATTGCAACAAAAAACCTTCGATTGCAAAAAAAAAAACTCGATTTTTTGCAATCCTTCGTTCAAGGAAACGGGGCCAGGGAGGAAGCGTCGAAGGCAGTTTGCTCCTGCATTGCTGATCGGGACTCGGGCGCCCCGCTCTGCCCGGGAACGCATGCGTAATCAACGCCGTCGGGGGCCTAACTCGCGGATGTTTCGCCGCTGTGTCGTCGGCTGCAGGCCGGCGTGTCTCCCTGGGCCAGTCATTCCTTTCTTCGGTTCCGCTCACATTTCACCCCTGGACTGTCTTTGTCTTGGGACTGCGTCAAGTCTCACCCTGGGCGCTACTGTGGTAAACAATGGCCACGGTGATGTGCAGTTTCGGGGGAGCGTAAGACCCGGGTTTGCCAGGACTCGGGTTCGCCATCGTTTTTTGACGACCGCGCCTCGGATTTTGACGAGGAGGAGTTTCGTGGGATGTCTGCAGCGGGAGGCCTCGTCAAAATGCAGGCTCGGCCTCGTCATTTTTTGACGACCTCGTCGGGGATTTCCGAGTCCCCTGTACCCAGGTCTTACGTCCCCCTGACAGTTGCGCTTCGCAGTAAGGCTTAGTCTCATAGTGAATGCTGAGCCCATGTGACATGAGGCTGATATTGAGTTTTCACCCTTTAGTGCTGAAGATCCCTGCTGGTTCAATACTAGTTAGGCTGAGCTCCAACGCCCATCAATTGCATGGAGGTTTGCCCGTTTTTTCAATTACATCGGAACCAAGTCAAGGCGAGCCTCATTACAGGCCATGTCCGGGATCTGCTCTCTTCCTGTTCCCTCCTCCTCTTCCTCCTCCTCCTCCTCCTCCTCCTCCTCCTCCCCCTCCCTGTCGGAGCAGTACCTCGCCGCTGTGCCTCCCTGTCGGAGCAGTTTCTTACCCGCTGCAATATTTTGAAGCCTTGCGGGTCGAGCATCGCGTCAGCCGTCTGCTGCCTGCGCCGCCTGCACCAGGCCGAAAACCCTGGACTGTTGTTGTCCTTCTTCCTGGCCCCTCGGCCTTCCCCTCTTTTCTGTCCGTTCTTCCTGTTTTTCCTGTCCGCTTGCTGTTTGGGTCTCTTTATGGCCACTGCGTCAAAAACTCCTGGCCACGCGAGCTGTAGCGTGTTGGCAATTCGCTGCGTGGTGGGAAAAGATGGAATCAACAGGAACCAGTCGCAATCAGAAAGAATCAGCAGAAATCGATAGGAGTCATTCGGAATCATTCGCAATCAATCGGAATCAGTCGGAATCAATGCGAAGCAATCGGAACCGACGCGAATCGATCGGAATCAGTTGGAATCAACAGGATGCAATAGGAATCAATAGGAATATGTAAGAATCAGTAGCAATCAGTGCAAATAGTTTGGAATCAATAATAGCCTAGGAATCAATAGGAATAATTCGGAAACAATAAAAATCGATCAGAACCGATCAGGAACAATAGAAATCACATTGGACCTATTGGAATCAGTATGAATCAGGATCTATAGGAATCTATCGGAACCAACAGGAGCTGACAGGACTCCTCCAGAAGCATGAAGTATGTGGAATTAATTTGAACCACTCGGAATCAAGGGCAATCAAGTGGAATCAGTAGAAATCAGCATGATTCACTCGGAACCGATTTGGTGACGATTGAGAAACAATAGGAACCAGTAGGAAACAGACGAAACTGATCGGAAGCATTGGGCTCAGCAGGGAAGTCAATCAGGGTCGTTAGGAATCAATCCGATTCAATAGAAGCCGATAGGAACCAATCGAAACCAACAGGAATCGATAGGATCCATTCGGAGCCATGAGGAGCCAGCATTTGGAATCAATCGAACCACTCGGAATCACAAGCAATCAAGTGGAATCAAGTGGAATCAATTGGAACAAGTATGATTCACTCGGAACCAATGGGGACCAGTGAGAAACAATAGGAACCAGTAGGAAACTGTAGAAACCAATCGGAAACAGTGGAATTGGCAGGGATGATGTACGTTGTTGAACGAGTTTGCATCGCACAGTTCCGTTTCATACCTGCTCTAGTCTTTCTGGCTCAATGGACTTGGCCCTGCGAGGATTGCAGGCTATCGCTCCTTGGGCCCCTCTTCTTTCAGTCGCCCGCTGCCCCGACTGCCATTGCATAGCCGATTGCCAGGTCAGCAGCGATATCGTGGGCCTCCTGGGTCGACAGCTGGAGCGCTGCGGTCCAGAGCAGCTCACCTGTCCCGTGTGCCCAAGCTGTCCGCCGCTGCAGTGCCCCGAGCCGCCGTTCGCGTCGGGCATCTTCGTCGTAGGGCTGCTCGCGGGTGTGCTCTCAGCAGTGACAGCAGGCGCCGTGTGGAAAAGGACCTCACGCTCGCTGAAGTCAGGATTGGATGGCGGCCCGCAGCTTAGCAGAGCGCACGCGGCACTGCCTGCAGAGCCGTCAAGTCTGGTCGAGGGCCCTCGCTTACTACGAGCTGCGCGATGACTTCTGGCATGAAAAGATCATGCTGGCACGTGTTCAGGACTTCCGCGTCATGGTGCTCACCGCGCCTTGGGACACCTATGGAGCGGACATTCGCGAGGAGGAGGGCTCGCCTGTACCAGCAGCACACACAGGGGCGTGCGCCGACGGCGAGGCGGAGGCACTTGCGGAGGCGCTGTCCCCTGCGGCGCTGCCGGCCGCCGCGAGGCCCGCTGGGCCAGCGGCTGGAGCCGCGGCTGCGGCTGGCGCCCTGGCGGCCGCGCCGGCCGCGTCGCCTGGGCCTCCGGCGGCAGGCCCTCTCCTTGTCCCAGCACCGCCGCGGCTCGCGGCGCCACCGACGGACGCGGTCTGGCTTGCAGCAGGGACGCGTGTGGGCTCCACGGCTGGGACTCGTATCTCGCCTGAGCCCTTGGGAGCTGGTGGCCAGCCGCAGGTCGTGCTTGGCGGTCGCGGGTTCATGCTGCTGGGGTCGGGCATCTCGCTCGCGGTCACCGTGGCCAACATCCTGGAGGCAGGGGCGGCCGCGCTGTCCGGCGGCGGTGGGGGCTTTCCCGCGCTGCCAGTGCTTCACTTGCCACCGGGCGGCCGCTCCAGGTTACTCCATGACGCTCTGGCCAAGATGGCCACCACGCCCGTCGCGAACTGGCGCAGCAAGGGGCCGAGGACCGCGGCCGTGCTGCTCGAGAAGATCTTGGAGACGGACTACATGCCGCGGCAGAGGCAGTGCTGGTCGAGGTCAATCCAGGGGCTCACAGCCTCGGACTCGGGCATGGACGACCACCACTTCACGTTGGAGGTGCTGCAGGAGCTCACCACCGAGGACCGGCTCAACGCTGGCGAGCTGGTGGTGGTGGAGACCCGCTGCCGCCGCGACCAGCTCTGGGAGGAGCTGTGTGCTTCGAGCTTGCGCGAGGGTGAGGCTGGTCAGGACGCTGCACCCTGGCTCGAGGGGCGACTCATCTTCCTCGGGCAGGGCAGGAGCCGCGGCTCGGCGCTTGTCTGCGCCGCCGGGGAGAGCTGGGTGGCGAAGATGCTCCGAGAGGGAGGCGCCATCCTCAAGGAGCGCAAGAAGGGGCGAGAGGAAAGGCTGCTGGAACGCTGCGCCGACCGCGGTGCGGCCTCTGGCGAACCAGCGGCGGGTGCCAAGGCCAAGGCATACGGCCGCGGGCGCGGCCGTGGCGCCTGAGGCGCCCCCTCGCGCCGAGGGTTCCCCCGACCTCGGCGCGAGTTTGCAGGGGGGGCGAGGTGTGCTGGGCGGCGATGCCACCTCGCTGGGTTTTGGCGATGACGGTCTCACGCAGAGAGACGCGCTGCCTATCCCGCTCAACTCGGAGGCGCTCCAGTGCTTGAAGGGGTTCTCTGCCCTTGACGGCGAGCTCTCGCTGGGGCAACGGCGCAAAGCCGCTCGCTGCAGGCGCCGGGAGCGCTGGATGCTGGAGGGCGTCGCGGCGCTCAACGAGCTGGGTGGCGGTGGGCGGTCGGCGGGCGGCAGCGGCCGCCTCAGCTTGGCGCAGCGCTCCGCGCTGCAGCATCTGAAGGGGGTCTACGCCGCGGTTCCGCCGAGGACTGAGGATTGCACCAACCAGGAGGCGTTTCAGGCGCTTCTGGGGCTTCGACCTGGCTATGCTGACGAGCCAGCGATCGGGGCGAGAGCCGGCTACCAGCGCGGGAGGGTCTCTCTTCCTTCTGGCGGTGCTGGGCGTGTCGATATTGTTCGGTTGTTGCCCGCGCACCTGCAGTCTGCGCTGGAGTCCGGGCACGGGGTTATTGCGCTCGGAGCAGGAGGCTACTGCTGCTCTGGAGGAGGCGGACGTCACGTGTTACGTGGGCGGTAAGCTGGCGCAGCGGGGCATTGACTACGGGCGGT